ATGTTACTGGCATGATGAGCACAGGTTCCAGTAGAGGACATCAGGACCTCAGGCCGCCCTCATCTGTTGCTGTTTGTTTGGTCAGTGGCCTCCTAGAGATCATTTTGTAGCTTTGGCAGTACTTATCCTGTTCCTCCTTACAAAAGAACAGAAACTAGAACAGGACCTTCTACCACCCTGTCCAGCTGCTGGATTGACTGCCTGTCTTTAATATGCTATTGAGATGCATGCTCAATCATCTATCCAATCATCTTGTCTCCATGCTCTTGACACGATGCTAGAAGACACAGCAAACTATCTGGCAATGGTATATAATGACGTGCCATCCTGGAGGAGTTGGATTTCCTGTGGAACCTACTGTATGTACGGGGTCCTCGAGTCCAGGTAGTTCCAAAGTCGCTGAAACTGATTAACAACCTCCTCTGCTGTTTAACCAACTAGATTAGTGTCCCGGAGGTTTTATTGGTTTGATGGTACACTCTGATTAAAAGATGTTCCTTTAATGTTTCTTTTCTTTTTTAGTAGTGTATAACCTCTGGCAATACAGTATAAAGTTATGCAAAATCTTTACATTACCTTTATATTTACCTTTACCTTTTTATTTAATCCTTCATATAATAACTAAATAAATACATTTTTATTTATATAGCACCTTTGAAGACAGAACCACAAAGTGCTGCACACAAGATTACAAGTCATAAAAAGATTTAAAAAGAGAAAATAAAACAGGCAAAAATTAACCAAAAGCAGTTTTAAAAAGGTGAGTTTTGAGTTGTTTTTTAAAAACAGCTACTGAGTCCACAGTTCTTAATGTTTGGGGGAGAGAGTTCCACAGTCTAGGGGCCACAGTGGCAAAAGCTCTATCACCCTTAGTCCTCCTCTTAGTATTTTTTAAAGCAAGTAAGCCCTGATCAGATGACCTCAAAGACCTGCTAGGGACATAGGGCTGTAGCAGATCAAAGATGTAGGCCGGTGCCAGTCCGTGCACAGCTCTGTAAGTCAAGATCAGGATCTTAAAATTGACTCTAAATTTAACAGGAAGCCAGTGTAACTGAGATAACAACGGTGTCGCATGTGAGTACTTGGAGGATTTTGTCAAAAGTCATATTTCATATGGAGGATATCTGCATGCATGAGCCAAGTCCTCCAGCAAGACAATCATATTGGATGTTTGGCAGCCCAACAATGCAGTGGTTATCCTCACATTAAGACAGTTCCTGGTTCAAACCTCTTGGAACATTTGCATGTTCTCCTTATGCCTGTGTGGGCTACTCTGAGTACTCTGGCTTCTTCCCACAGTCCCACAAAGAGATGCTTCTTAAGTAACTGGTGATGCTAAATAATGTCATAAATAATTATTCCTTTATGGAGTTAAGAGGAAGAGGCCTGGTTTTTGACTTCAAACCAAACAGAAGTTGGAAATTATGATGCAGATACTACATGGAGGGATGGCTGTGGCTCTGGAGGAAGAGCAGGTCATCTAATTGTGTGTTGGACCCAGGCAGTAATTATGATCCATCCAACATTAAAAGCCAGAATGTCAGTTTCAGTGATTATTGGGATCATGCACAGACTGATTGCACACAATCGCCAGTCAAATCTGATAGAAACCACTTCATAAACTCTGACTTTGCCCCAAAATATGGTTTAGAAAACTTTTCCCCCCATGCAGGTTAAACTTCCACTGCAAATGCACAAAGTTACACAACATTATGACTTCATTAGCAGCTTAGTCAATTCAGTCCCATGTCCATGTTAATTCATGTTATTGTTTTATTGTCTTTGCTTGCAGTATCCTAGCAGACCAGCAGATACAGGATACAGCTGAAACTGGCACGAAACTCTGCTGTTTTGCATATTTTAGAGCAACACGTGGTTCGTATATTTCCAGATTTGGCTGTCGATCAGCTCTTTGGGGGCAGGACAACCACTGTCTTTAACATTGTGGAATTTCTCCCAATGATTTCTATCCAGAATTCATGCAGTGCCATTTCTCCTCCTTCCAATGTTTCTGATATAATACAGCTCCAAAAATGCAAAGAGCGCTATCCATCTTCGTCAGAAACACTGTAAAGAAAAGGTCATAAATAAGATACGCCACTTTCAGTTCTTGGAAGTCTACACACACACACACACACACACACACACACACACACACACACACACACACACACAATCATTCTCCAATCACCGATTGGTGCAGCAATTATGATTTTTCCAAGACAATCTTTCTAAAGATCTGCTCATGGAAAAGTCAAGCACACCTCATCCACCATAAAGGACTTCTCATGAGACTTTGGGCAAAGCTAAATGAAACCTTGCAGGCCGTTGCTAAATAAAATGATGCCAAATCAAGAAGCTCTCCACTCTCTCCCAGTGTTACCTGACAAAAAGCAGGTGTGCTTGTTTCTCCAAACCTTGACAGTGTTATAATGAAGCTTTTTTTTTTTCAGCGTCCGTCATGCACCTCATCAGCGCACGGCTGACGTCGTGTTCTGGAGCAGATCCAGTGTTTAGCCAGGGCTCGCTGGTGACAGATGACTCTAAATGAACATATATGTTCATTCTGCCAGGGCCAAAAATGCCCTTTCAAGGCAATACATGCACATTCACCCCCAGACGCAGACTGTGGCTTTAAACCCTGGTGAATATAGATGGATTGGTGGTCTTTAAGAAACTCTGTTCTCCTGCAGGCCTATAAGTCCAAATATTTAGTCTTTCTTGTGTAAGTCACACGCTGTTAAAGCACCAGAGCCTAATGGGCCAAAATGCTCTTGTTTGTAGGACCTTTTTTTTTTTTAGTATCCATTTCTCTGCTCTGTTCTCAAATGGAAAGTCACTGTAGACCTCTCCTCTTGCAGCCTTTCTTTTGTCTCGCTCAGTTTTGTTGGCTTGCTGCTGTGCTGACGGTAGTTTTTAGCAGGCCCGTCACGCTGGATGGGAGGCTTCCCCATGCATTTGAGCAAAGCCAGGTCTCGTCTGGAGAAGAAAAAGAAAACAAGCCTCCTGTCTCCAAAATTTGGAATTTGCTTTAGCAACCACCTATGCACAAACTGTTGTTGGATGCCATCAGCCCATAAAGCAGTCTGTACAGCATCGCCTCAAACACAGCCCTGCTTGTTAAACCTTCACCATTAATTTAAAATGTTAACTGAGGTGTCATCTTTAAAGTGCTTCAGAGAATCACTTGGCCTTCTTTTGAGCACACATCACCACTCTGGCATGCAGATTGCAGCACAGAGGTCTGAGTTAATGGATAATTTAACTCATGAGCAATCTGAAGTTGGATTATTTCTGATTTGATTATAACTCTGAGATGATTTACAGTTTTCTTTCAACATCTTTATTTTTCATTTCAGCTTTTGCACCCAGTAAATCGTGTTTTTTCTTTAAAGTGGTACCATCTGTCACTGTCCATCCATCCTGCACATGATGTACTAAACATTCTGCGTGCTGTTGCAGAACATTTTCTCTTGGCCTCAGTTCAATGAGAGGGAAATGTCTAGGTGAGCGGCGTCTCTTGCAGCAGAGACAGCTGTAAAACACATTTATTCTATAAGTTCAACTAGGCCGTTCCTCTCAAAGGCCTCTGTTTGCTATGTGCACACTTAAAATCAAATTAAATCCTCTGTTTTCTTTTTCCTCTTGCTCTACAAGGGCTGTTAACATCACAATGGAATGTAAATTGACCTCCATTTAAATAGAGGGATTTCACACCTTTGCCCTTATCATTGGATATGGGCAGGCTGGGAGGAGGGAGGAGATGGACACTTGGGGCTCAGCAAATTGACTTTAGCCTCAAGTGTTAAACTGAGCTGGATAAGGAAAGTGTTCCCCAGCAGGTTGCAAGTACAACAAGCACAAACAGAGCAGTATTAAATCATCAGCTCCCCATTTGATAAGTTAATGTACCCAAGAACTCCCAGAGGCAGCTTATCGGGTATTTTCCTTCAGAACCTTTCTCCTGCAGAGATAATTATTATGAATGAAAACACTATTTCCTGTCTTTACTTGGGAGGCTTCTTATCCTCGGTGTCTCGGCGTGTTCCCTGCAGGACATTTTAGAAGCAGTGGAATTAAAAGAAAACCTCTAAATAAGTGTTATTATTATCATTATTATTACTCACTAAGTCTTGGCTCAGACTCTTAAATTCAAAATCCTCAAAGAAACTTCAACCTTCAAGGAAATAAAGTGATATAAAGTAAGAATAATAATAATAATGTTATTTTTTACTGAGTTTTTTGCTGAGTTTTTGCTGAGTCAAAGATGACACCCAAAACTGTCATGTTTCTTCAATAAAGTTATAAAAGTCGATTTTTTAAAAATTTGTCTATCATATTTTCTGAACCAAATAATGTGTGCATCAGGCAGGCATTACAGTGGATATGCTTTAGGAGATGATCTGGGTTTGTGCTCCATTATATGGAAGAACATAAATTGCCAAAAGAATAAATGAGTTAAAAAGAATACAACAATGAATACGTAAATATGTACAGGTGTAAAAATGAAAGGAAAATAACAATAGATGAAAATAAAAGAAAGGAAATGCATTTGGAGTTGTTTCTGCGTTTAGGCTGTTTCAGGCCTCCGTACAGTAACAGCTGATGGCAACAAGCTTATAGAGCTGCTTTATTTAATATGAATGAAATCAGGATTTCCTCACATTCGGGGATGCGAGAGGCTCGTGTTGTTCCCTGCACCACGTTCTTGTTACAGGCATAAAACAAACCCAGTGTCACACTTTAAAGCTGTGCAACTTCTAATCGAGCTTATTCCTACACCCCAGTCAGTCTGAAAGTATTCCCAGTTTATGCGCACATATCCAAATATATTTATTATTATTATTACTTTATATCGACAAATGAAGCGCAAAGGGAACGCTGGGGAGTCTCCCGGAGAGTTTTTACACACGCGGTCATTAAGCGCTTTGACTGACAGCCGAGTGCCAAAAGGCGCAGACGCGCTCCGATTGGTCAGAGCGCACTTTACAACCCCCTCTTGTTTCCGAGCACCGCACAGTCTCAGCGCATTACCTCCCCAAACTCTCGCAGGAGCCGCACGCAGCCCAGCAGCGGGACTACAGCCAGAGGAGATAGTGGACTTATTGCAGAGCGCCTTTCTCCTGCGTCGCTGTCGCTGTGCGTTTCTTCATGAACTGAGTGTTGCCTGGCACTCCGGTTAGCAATCATTCAGTGGCTGCAAAGACACATCATGAGCTCTACTTGTGAGTGCTTCTGCAGGATGTTCCGGCTGCTGGTGACGGTGGCACTCCTGTCAGGGTGCAGGGCGTCAGAGTACGAGTACTCGCCCTGGATTACGCCCGTCTACGGCAAGTCGCCCCAGTGCGTGGACATTCCGGACGACCTGCGGCTCTGTCACAACGTGGGCTACGACCGGATGATGCTGCCCAACCTGCTGGAGCACGAGATCATGGCCGAGGTGAAGCAGCAGGCCAGCAGCTGGGTGCCTCTGGTGCACAAGAACTGCCACCCGGACACGCAGGTCTTCCTGTGCTCGCTCTTTGCTCCCGTGTGCCTGGAGCGGCCGATCTACCCGTGCCGCTGGATGTGCGAGGCCGTGAGGGACGGCTGCGCCCCCATCATGGAGGCCTTCGGCTTCCCCTGGCCGGAGATGCTCACCTGTGACAAGTTTCCCCAAGGTGAAGTGTGCATTGCCATGACGACACCCAACGCCACGGAGGTTACAAAACCCACAGGTAACTCACCTAACAGCAACTTCAAAAGGTCAAACACACACACACACACACACAGACACACACACACTGTATATTTGTGAATAAATGTTTGACAAGGAAATATGCAAATTAATAGCTGAATATTTCCTGGGCATAAACCTGCCATTTAAAAGGTTTATTAACATGTTGTCTATATGATGTATATTTTTATTTATTTATTTATTTATTTTTGTTAAATAAACAAACTTTCTCAAGGTGAAATTTAAATGTAGAAATTTGAAGTCAAACTTCAATATAAAGTTGAAAACCTTTTAAGAGAATTATACTTTTTATATATATATTTATATATTCTGTATAAATAATATATTACCCCTGCAACCCTGATAAGGAAAAGCGGAAGAGGACGGATGTTTAAATAAAGAGTTCAGGTGAGGGGTTTATATTAAAATTTTTTTAAAGGCATTCCCTTAAAATTCCAGTGAAAGAAAACAATCTTCAAGTTGTCTCATAAGGAAGAAGTTGAAAACGAGATATTTTGCAGTGTAGCTTGATGAATAAATATTCATTCTTTGAATCAGTTCCAATTTGTTAATATAGTATTAACTACCTAACCCTGACTAACTTGCTCACTTAGAAAACAAACAGCCAGCACTTTTGCCACCGTGTAAAAGACGACACCCGTGCAGTTAAATGGGCATGCAACTGTTGTTTCAGGGGTGAAAAGTGTGTTTGCAGATGCAAATCCGAGCACAAACAAAACAAATGCGACCTTTTGGGGGAGCAAATTCAGCCATGAAAACCTGGATTTGATCCTGTTTTAACACCCACCACCCCTCATGTTTTTTAAAGAAAGTCTATCACGTTTATGTTTTCCTTTCACTCTATAATCCCCTGGCTTTAATGTGCAGGTGAAGTTGCTTGCTATTGACAACGAGTGATGTTGTAATATTGCAAAAGCTCAAACAGATGTTAGTCATTTATTTCAAGGTGTTCGCTGAGCTGGAGGACAATGCTGGGAGGAAGTCAAGCAGCAAAAAAACAAAGAATAAAAAGGTTGGAGGAAAAAAATGTGAATACCTTAATATATTTAAGCCCTGTGCTCTGGCAAATGTTGTGCATCTGATGAAAAGATGGAGATCTGGAAAATCGGCGTCCAAGTTGACGTCGGGAGGGCGGTTTGTAAACAGAGCTCCCAAGGACATTCTTTTACCCCTATCATCTATCACTAATGGGTGCTTTGGTGCAGATTCCCCAAGACGCTGCATCAGCAAATGGGGTTGTAGAGGGCAATAGCATTAGTCCAGCAAAACTGTCTTCCAGCACTAACCTCTGCAAGCCAAGTTGAGAAGTGCCAGAGAAGCCCATAAAAATCGCAGAAAATAACAATTCTCTGGATGATAAAGCTGAGAGCAAGGCTGCAGTGCCAGGTTCTCTATCGGTTGCTCAGGCGAGGTGAGGTGTACGCCGAGGGGTGGGGGTGGAGGGACTACAACTGCCTCATTCACTTGAACCATAAAGTTAAAGGGGTGGGGCCTCTACTTATATTTCAATCTAAAGCCCCTTACTGAACATGTTGGCCATAAATGGAGGGACTGTGGATCTTCCTGCGATAACACAGAGCTCACTGTATCTTTGGGGGAGAAGGGACGTGTTTGTGAGTGTGTGTTTTGTCGGGGGGGGGTTGTTGCTGACTGACATAGTGGTATGGATGGAGGCCTGTTTTTCTGAAAAAGACTCCTTTTTCAAGGTAAGACGAAGGGACCACACAGAGCTCCATGCTCTCCAGACTTCACCTGTTATCATTTGTCAGCACTGGGGTTAAATAAAGCCAGCCTGTTCCCACAGGTCGGCTGAAGCTCGGCTACTCAGAGTTTTGTTTTCTGGAGAGTCTCTCAGTATCTGATCTTCAGGGTGATAAACATTAACAGAGGCAAGCTAATCTCCTCAGCTGTTAATGATTGTTAATAGAGGCCAGCTAACAGTGCTTGAATACTGCAGCATAGGGACCCGTGATAAGTGATTTAAAGATGAACCAGGCGCTCAGAGGCAAAGGGACCCAGTGACTCTGTAAACATTGTCTGTTTTCACAAGCTCTTCACACCCGAGCGATGGTTTCACAAGCATTCGTTAAACACATGTAAATGGACAACTGGAAGAGAGTAGAGTGCTGTTACCTTCCCCTTTGGTTGATCGATCCAGGCCCACAGTGGGACACCGCAGTGTAGTCGGGGTTTATGTTGCAAGGACGCTGCGATCGCAATGCAGGTCCAAGTTTGTTTGGAAGGTCGGCTCAGCTGTTTGGCATGAAACGATCGTTTGTGGTATTCAAAAGAATTGAAAACTTGTGTCAGTAAAAAGTTCGCAGATATGCCTCAACTGAGTTACTTTTTGGCAAAAACACTTTTTGGCTCTTTTGGGATTTTTGTCTTTGAGCTGGCTATTATACACCTCTACACTCAAAGCCCCCTTTTTAAACTCTGGAATCTCAGAACATTCTTTTAAGGTTGAATTGAATATCTTTACCATTTATTCCTTCCATATTTCTAATACTTTTTTAAAGGTGTATAGATGAGTGTTGAGCAGATGCATTTTGAAAACTGCCTTAGTGTAGCAAAAAGTAAAGAAGAGCGTTTACTGCAGCTCTTAGTTACAGCTGGCTATAAAAGCTTAAGGCATTCCTCACTGACATCAGGTCATCAGAGTGTACGAAACCCAAGGGAGTAGGTGACTGACTACTGACAGTAAACAGGATCTGTGCATCCTCAGAGATGTTAAGATGCGTAGAAGTCTGCAGGATAACTGACTGAAGTTGAATATGAGCACTCCTGACCTGGTCACCAAACGGGCAACATAAATTCCATTTGACATTTTGTCTTCTATTTGCACCGATTTCTTGTCCAATTGTTTCTTTGTTTTTTTTGTGTGTGTGTTTTCATCCACAGGTTACTCTCCCATCTGCCCTCCATGTGACAACGAAATGAAAACAGACACCATTCTTGAGCACATGTGTGCCAGCGAGTTTGGTAAGCGGCGTCCCAACACCCACAAAACACAGACAGTTGGATGCACTGCATAAAATCAAAAGAACTCTTTACTGTATTTCCCATCTTCAAAGTTCATAAAGTTTTATAAAGTGTGCAACTTTTATTTTTCCCCCCAAAGTACACTGTGTCCTGGCGGTACTTGGTCATATTTGGCAGTTCAATTTAATGTGACGTTTTATCTCTTGGTTAGATATACTATCCCTGTCTGGTCTGGTGGACCATGATGTTCTGTGACTAATGAATTGGGGTCATTGAAGTCTTTAAGTGGCAGATCTTTGCAGTTGTAAACTGGGATGTTTGTTCTGTTGTCTGGGCTGACTAATGTTACAGATTACCTTCTTCATATCCTAAATGGAAAAAAAAGTTAATGATAAACCATCTCCAAAAACAATTCTTAAATGCTAATACCATTTCTTCATGGAAAAAGATAAGAATTTGTTTCTCATTGTGTTGACATTGGGTGTTTGACTTGTGTTAATATTCTGCAACTGTTATCTTGTAATATAAAGAGCCGAGGTAGCTGTTCTAGTGAACTGGTTCTATGGTAATAAAATCTAACTGAGCTGGAAGGTCTTTGAGTGAAATAGTTCATACATCTAAGCTAATATAGGCTAATAAATATTCTATTTAATACGTGGTATCACTTTCAACAAGAAATTTCCACTCAGAAGCACAACTAATATCCTGGTTAGCATTCAAGAGTGATAGGTGTTCTGAAAACTCGCTCTCCAACATTTGTCTGTTTGTTTGTTTTGGTTTTTTTAATAGAATTGTAGCGTTCTATTCATCTATAGCTTTTTCTCAAACTGTTATTTTAAATCTACAAATGGTCAACTGGAAGGGTAGGCTAACAAGAACCATTAGCAAGCTTAATTGCTGTAGTTGTAAAACTCAAGTGCACAGGCCACAACTTAATACAATGCAGGAAACCCTGCTGGGTTATTGTTGGAGAATTGCAACACAGAATTATTGGGTAAATGAGAATTAACACACGTAATTATTTGCTACATGCAAGGCATTGGATTTTATTCAGATGTTTAAAAAAATGCTCGTGTTTACTTTAGTGTTAGCTTTATGGATTTAAAATTTTTAGTTCAGGTTGTTAGGTGATTTCCCAAATACAAACCTGTTTCCAACAAAAATGGGACGCTCCTTAAATGTCATCCCTAGTAGTGCATGGGTTTTTTATGTTTTTTTCCATAAACATGAAGTGAGTAGAAGCCTGATTGGTATCACCGTTTTTGGTCAGAATAAGATCTGAGTGAAAACAGAATGCAGAGAATTACTAGCTAGTTTCAACTTGCATTTATGGACACAGTGACGGACTGTGTTTCCTTACAAAGGTTTTCAGAAATGAGCCTGTGTGGTGATTTCTGCCAGAGAACTTGCTGTTTTAAATGCATTGCTTCTCGAGGATCTAAAATTCACGGCTATTCTCAACTGAATGGCTGACGAATAGCTCAACTGCCAATTTTTGGCCTTGTTTATTGGGATTCTTCTAGATACTTTTAATCTTTCAATCATATTGCATACCAAAGATATGAAATCTCCAAATGTTTCACAATGTTAGGTTGAGAAAATTTTAAATTGTGGAGCTATTTTTCCCATGAATCTAATCTTTTAAGGGAGAAGTGCTCTCCGTCTTCCCATCTGAATTTCAAGAAACCCATTCAGGGATGTTCTTTCTTACGCCAACTGAATCTAGTATTGACAGTTAAGTCAGTGTCTCATGTTCCACCTTGAGGGTTCTTTACCATTACACAACTTTTCCAGTCTTTCGTTGACCTTTTCTCAACTTTGTAAAACATGTTTCCTGCTGAAAGACAACACAATTTCTTATTTTCTGCAGTTAATATGTCAACTTTTTACTTTAAGAGTAGTTGTAAGATCAAAAGCTTGGTGATGATCAGAAGATCAGTTTTAGAAGGATGTTGTTCATTTTGAAAGGCCATTCTTCAGCTCTGCAGTCATGTTCTGAGGTCGTACCAGAAATGTTCTTTTGGAACATTATCAAATCTAAAGACATATTCTGAAGGGGATTTGGAAGTGGGTTTTGAACACGTCAGAGCCTATTTGGAAATATTAAGAGATGGCTCAGAATCTGCTGCAGCCAGCTTCACACATTCTTTTCATTAGAGGATCCTCAGTCCAACTTGAATGGAAAACAACATAAAAAAAAAAAAACAGGAAGGAAGGACGATCTTAAGCTGATGAGGGCACTTGTTTTAATTGTGGAAATTTGGAGGTCTTACATGAGGAATCCAGTATAAACCATATGTACTTAAAAAAAGGAAATTGAAAGCTTTGAGTTCAATTAATAACACAAACACAGATTGAACTGCAGACATGAGAACGTTCAGAAATAATACACACATGATGCACACAAGATGCAAGTTGTTCTACTTTCATCTTTTATTCACCAAAGCTTGTGGCAGCACGAATTCCAGGTGCCAGGCTAAGCAAACATAGACTGGACGCACATCGAAAACACACATTCTTCCAGTTCTCAAGAAAAAGTTTAAAGTTACATTTGTTTAACAAATTGCATCGGTGTTTATGCTGCGGTGATGAGACTTGCCCCTTTGAGTCTGCGTCCCGGTTTGCCAAGGGAGCGGGCTGGATTATTGGCTTGTTTCATCTTGGATGAAGACAGATGTTGTTTTGCTTGCTTGTCATAAGTCACCTAACCAGCTGACATATGAGGATACACAGACAGATTTAGTGTCAGGCTGAGGATGAGACCTTGTTGCTTGTGTTGACCCTGCGAGGGAGGGACATAGTCTGGAATGCAACAAACTTCTCTATTGCTTCAGCATGGCTCGATTGTGGCGGGTAAACGACTAATGCGTAGCCTGACACGACACAGCGCTGCAGCTTGCCAAAGATTTGTTTGTTAATTTTTTTTTTCAGCAGACCGACGGAATTCAGTTTTGGTCTGGAGAGAAATGCTATAAATACATCCAACAGCAGCTAAACAGCAGAAGCTAAACATGAGTTAATGCCTTGTCTTGAGCAAAAAGGAAAATGTGCAGATGGAAATATCCCACGCTTTAATCATTATGTGATTTTATCCCACAAGGTCATCCCGATATCTTTCTTGAGTTCCAAAAAAAATATTTGGACAGTAAACTTTAACAAGGCAGCGTCTTAAATCCAAGCCTGTTTTGTTTGGAGAAGACTGCAAAAATAGATGTGATGGATTTCTTTGCTTTTCTCAGTGGAACACAGGGATGGAAAACCATAGAGGGGCTTGAGGGATGAACCAGAGACTGAAGCCTTTGTTAATCTGCGTGGACCAATCATGTGTTCATTAAAAAAAAAAAAAAACTCAACCTAGCAATGAATTAGAATTTTTGTCCATCTCATTTACTTGAAGCTGCAAAATGAAAGAGGCCAAAAATAGTGTCTATCATGCATTGCACTGCAGTGCTTCCCAGCATTTAATTTGAGCATGTTTGATTTTTCCATGTGGTTTGATAAAAGTGGAGAATTCTGTGGTGAAACTTTTGACTTGTGGCCCCTGGATGTGGAGTTTTTCTGGCACAGGAGGAAGGATGGCTGTAAGTTGTGTGTTGTTGAGCTAATGCATCAGAGTTAGAAGAATGAGTAACAGGTTTCCCTGGTGAGGACAAATATCGCTTATTTCCCTGAAATCCTCATGATTAATATAGCTGTTGGGCATGTATTTATGCACACACGTCCTATTTGCCGCACTCAGCTGTAAATGATTTCAAACATCATCACAACATCAGCTTTTTCTTCCCACTGCAATTTTTCTCCGTGCTTAAGGTTTTATGGTACCCCATTGTCCCAAAACCTCCAGAAGCCCTTCAATTAAATCTCCTCGGCTTCCAACTGTTCACTTTGTCCTTTTCCGAATTGCTCCCTCCCTTTGCTGATGTGATAAACAACAGGGCATTCCTGTGCTGGATGACTGTTCAGTCTAGCTTGGACCACTTGCCATTATTGTGAATGAGGAGCACTGCTCGCCCTCCTGCTGGGTTTATGACACGTTGGGCACTTAAGGATCCCATTAATACATCTGACCCAGCAGAGTCAGGTTTCAGAGACAACATCACAAAAAGAAATCTTACAATAGAAGTCATTTTATTTTAGTGTGCTGGCATGCGTAAAAGCACCCAAATCACTGACAGTATATCTTCCTTTTAACTTTTGTACTGTAACAAAGGTGCAGCATGCACATATATTTGATTCCACTGAAGATGTTCCCATTTTATTTAAAGAATCATCTATTTTTGACTCCTAAAAATGAAAACCCTTGTTATAAGCTGCATATGTGTACTAGTTCTGACCTTTTGGGGGGTTTTTTACACTGTAAAACTGGTGGGTTAATACCTTGACACTGGAGTAGGAAAATAATTAGTGACAGTAACTTTAATCTCTTAACATCCAACTAATTGACAGTGGACTTTTACCCAAAAGTCTTACTCAAATAAATATCTTGTCACAGGAAAACTGTAAGGCCAAAATGCATCTAAGAGCATTGTTTGATCTTCTGATCCAGGAAGGGCTTCTGAAAACACGGTCACGTCAGTGTGAACATATTCATAGCTGTTTTACAGTTAATATGCTAATGTTATAGGTTATGACATAAGAATTAAGTGGGCAGATTTGAGAAATGCTTTCTCACAGAAAGGCTATCTTCTCTTTTCTTTTCTTTCTTTTGCTCACTGTATAAGATGAATTTATTTTTTTGTTTGGTAACTTTAAAAATTGAAAATATTTTAAAAACTAATGTAGGAAGAAACACAAACAAGGGCAGTTTCACTGACCATGAGAAAAGAAACACTGTTGTCAGTTATTTGATCATTTGAACGTCTTATTGTATTCTGCTGCTGAAGAGATTAAGCCCTCAAACAACGCGAGGTGCAAAGAAAGTTCAGGGCGTTAAAGGATTATCGAGGTTGGAGGATTTATCAAGATGAAGTCCTTTCAGTGGTGGGCCAGACCTTTTCTTTTATTACACACTAATTATGACCGCTGCATTTTGACTTCTCTGAACACTAAGCCCCCTCACAGAGACTGTTTGACGGGGGATAAGTCTTAATCCGTACCATGTGCACTGTTAATACAGGGGGGGGCTCTTTATTTATTTATTTTTCAACACTTTAATTAGCAATTAGCAATACGAGTGCAACTGGAGAGCAAGGATCCAGTACAGGTTTTTCTGTCTACTATAATTCTGTAAAAAAGCAAGTGATCTGGTGTTTAAAATCGTGGAGAAAATTAGATTGAAGACTAAGTTTGTTCTCTTCTTACTGGAGTGGGGAAATGCTTGGTCAGGCTGTTCCGCTACTGAAGGTCACAAGGCTTTATTCCCAGCTTGATCGTGATTTATCCTGACGCAAATGTCAGTTAAGTCAGACATAACGCACCTAGATATACTATATGACAGGTCATAACGTGTGTGTGTGTGGGGGGGGGTATGGAAATTTGGACCACCAAAGTCCAACTCGTGCTCTGTTTAAGAGGAAACATAGAGATTAGAAGGTTAAATAGAGTTTAGTGAAAGATCAGGGGTATTTTGGTCAATCTGAAAAACATACTTGGGCTTAAATGAAGGAGAAAAAAATTTATATTGCATTGCTAATTCTGATAAAGATATATGCTTTGTCTATATTTACACCTTAACCTCGTAACATCCGCCAGGTCACTAGTGATGTGTTTGTGATGCGCAGGTAAGAGGCTGGATTTTAAGGGAACATCTAGTTTCTGAAACATTGGTTGTTCACCATGTGGCTAAAATGTAGCCTAACCCTAACCCTATGTGGTTCACTATTGACAAGCTGGAAGCCCAGCGCAGTATTCCTGAGAATTTATTTGTGCTTTGTTTGTTTGTTATGTCGTGAAAAGCAGAAAAATTAAGTGGCTTTGTCCATAATTGGATTTGGTCTTTGAACATCAGAAGTCACTGAAAAAACATACCGCATTATTTATTAGTATTAGGCTAAACCCCAGAATTAAGAGGATCATGGATAAGTTCTTTTGCATGAACAGGATTTGCAACAATGCACTGTTTGTGGGAAAATGAGTTTCAGTCTATGTTAATTAAATTACTTATGTATTATTAATAAACGGTGATCCAATTTTTAATCAAACATGAGTAAACAGCAAATTGTATAAGGCGGTATCTTGGCTAGCTATTCGTCATTAATCCATGTTATTGTGGAATACTGTTGACCTGAGCCACCAATAGTATTAAGATTATGAATGTACTTTGATTGTGTATGCATTGTGAAATAAAACACACATTTTTGTGCTTTAGCAGTCGTGCACTTCACACGACTTTTTAACCTCGTTCTTACTGATTATTCCCATTATTAGACTTACTGCCACACTGTTCAATAGTTGATTTGAATAATGGGACCATGATGTACATAGACCACTTTTACTTAGCAAGTATGTTATAAGTGCTACTACTAAAATAAACATTGCTACTTTGGCAATGTTAAGAGTGTGGTAATGTACTTCATATTGTATTAAGTATGGCAGCGATTGAGACTATAACTGATTCAACAAGAGTTTTTTATTAATGTCAAATAAAAAGTCTTTTCCCATATACTTCTATACAACAGGAAGTCATGTTTTGCAAATTGAAAATGCAAGTTTAAAGCACCAAAAACATTCTCTTAAAGTTTAATATTACACTCATTCTATCACTGTACTGTAAAGAGTACAATGATATTTTTTTTTATGGGTTTGATTCTTTGAATTTTAATGGTTCTCATTTGGAAAAATTAGTTGTGTATATGAGGTAAAAATGATTAAGAATCATCTGTAAAGGATGGGGAACCATAGTGGTATGTTCCCTTATATCTGATCACAGGAGACTGACCTGCCTAATATCCATCATGATGATTAATTTTACTAGTGCACTACACTACCAGGAGCTGTCAGACGCAGCACTGTACAACACGTTGAGTTCAAAATGACATTCACATTTTAGAGTAAACTCATCTTTCTGTTGTTCCTCCGCCCACAGCTTTCAAGGCCAAGATCAAGGAGGTAAAGCGAGAAAACACGGACCGTAAGGTGATCCTGCAGAAGAAGAAGAAGATGTTGAAACCGGGAAACCTGAAGAAGAAGGACACAAAGAAGTTAGTGTTGTACTTGAAGAATGGTGCTGACTGCCCCTGCCAGCAGCTGGACAACTTGGGAAACCAGTATCTAATCATGGGCCGCAAGGTTGATAAGCAGTACCTCCTCACAGGCATCCACAAGTGGAACAAGTCCAGCAGAGAGTTCAAAAATGCCATCAAGAAAATGAAGACCTACAAATGTCCCGTATTTGAGAATGTTTTCAAATAATGTGACCTACCCCTTCATCACTGGTTGCATCTCATCATACATATGAACTTGCACAAGCATTCCCAAACTTTCTGTTGTTCTCTTAATATATCTTTATGTCTTTGTACATTTGCAGATAGCCGATACTGTGGAATGTCTGTCGTGTTATGTTGAAGATGTGACGACAGGGTTGGGTTTTCTTTTTTTCCCCGCTTCAACTTAAAAGGACATTGTAGTAAAAGCCCTACCTTGCTGAAATCATTTCCAGTATATAGATACTTCATTCACATGCTTTCTCAAAAGGTCTGTGGATTTGTTGTGCATTTTGGGAAAATATACATACTTCTTTTTTTTTTGCTAGCAATTAGAGGAGATGTCTAACACCACTTTCCAAGAATGTGTTTTTGTGTGTGTAAATTTGAAGCTAAAGCCAGTAAACTGTTAGCTTACCCTTTTTTTCTGAAAAAGGAAGAAGAAAAAGTGTTAGCTCAGCAAGAAGGAAACTGCTAGCTTGTCTCTGTCTAAACCTTTTAATAAAAGAAAGCATAAACTGTCATTTTACATTGAGTTTTCTGTGTATTACAAATAAAATGTATTATTTTAAACAGGGGTAGAGTCAAGCTAGCTGTTCCCTTTTACTTTAAGGCTTTGTATTAATGTAGGCTAACAATCTGCTGGCTAACTGTTATAAATACATCCAACAGCCTTTTATAAAATGGCTCTTTCTGATCATAAAGAAACTCTTAAAATCAGTGTATTTTAAACTTTAAAAGCCAATAAAGGTTTGTTGTAGAATAACTTATTGACAGAAGTCTGAATATGCTGCCATGATTATTCTGTCTAACTGAAGACTGCACTATCAGCAGTTATGAACATTTCTCTGAAGCTCATTCATTTCGTCATTAAACATTGTTGTTTGAAATCCATAAGAGAAGCATTAACACCAATCACAGAGTAATTTGTAAGCCTGGGTGGCAGATTACTTGATTTTGCCTTTTTTAAATATTTCTTTTTATGTTGGTATACGTTTAGTCTGCAGTATTCATTATTCTTTGGTCATGGAATACGCCTTGTAGTCGTACAGTTTTGCAAAACTTATCAAAGAGCAAGTATTGGCAATTCTGTTTTTCTCGTTTGTTCTGCTCATGTTTCATTTTCAGCACTCTATTATTGCAAATTGGAATGTCAGCAGTACATTGTTGCCTATTACATGTACATACAAATTTTACATAAATGTATAAAAATAAAAAAAAAACTAAATGTGTTGCCAAGATTATTTTCTTGATTGTTTTTTGTCATTCATTTTCTTTCTGGTGGTTGGACCAAAACTTGGTTCAGTAAAATATCTTTAAAATTGAAATTCTTGGTTTCACGTTGTTACTAAAATATGAATACTGACATTCCTCAGTGTTATCATCCAGTGAAAGATTTAGGTTAAATTTGTTTAAAATTTGAGTCTCTCAAGAAACAGATTATTTAAATCGCATTGCCACCCCAGCCAAGTTGGCTAAGTAGTTATTAAGTGAAATTAACAGGTAACCTTTTTGTATTTTCAGATAGATTTTCTTTCTTCTTACAGAAAAGTTGCTGTCTATCATGCAAACTAGAGGTGACTAAGGCAATCTGCTAGTGACAAAAGCAATCACAAAAAGGGCTAAGATGAAGCACCTTTTTTGTAACTATTTCACCTAGCAACAACCAGCAGCCAGTTGGGAAATACAGATTTTTTTTTTCAAAAGGACCAGAAGCTGTATTATAGCTAACATGTCAGCCAACTCACAAGCAATGTGCACATGACATCATGCACAGCATCTATAGTGAATTTGTTAAGTGAGTTACAATCGTAAAAAAAAGAGAGCATATGAAAGACTGGCAGTGGAGACAGCAGAGCCGTATTTGCTATCGAATGAAATTTCACGGACTCAAAGATGTTGTAATTCTTGCTTAAAGCACCTCTCGCATGGAACGTATGTGTAAAATTACTGTGTTACAGCCTTCTAGTTTCAGTTATTTAGGTAATCCAATTATGATACAGTAACTGATGAGTAACGAACCTGCTGGGGCAAAGTAGACAGTCTTGTTTTTGTCCCCAGTGACAGCTTCATACATTGCAAAATGCTTTTATATAATACCAAATAGAACACTGTCAGTCATACCACTAAGTGAAGTGTAAATAAATATAACCAAAGTCTAAGTGAAAATCTAAAATATTGGGAAAAAATATTACTTTCTCAAAGCTACATCTTTACTACATGTAAACACTTGTTGTTTTTAAAACTTTCTTTCAGATACACAACAGTCTCATATCTTTATGTAAGATGTTATTTTGCTCTTTGTGCACGATGTGTGACACTGCCAGAACAACTGGCTTCTGCCTTTACATGTCAAACAGGGCCGTGTCAATCTAACATTTGCATGCTTTATGGAAAGATAAAGCATCGCGTTGCCAGATCTCCATGCCAGAGGATCTCTGACGCATGCATGTTTTTACTCCCACCACTTCTCCAGTGATGTTAAACTCTTGTCTGGGTGGCTTTGAATCCAGGTTTATTGTGGGTTTCATGGGCTGTTGGTGTGTTGGTATGTTGAGTGTAAATGCCAGTCCCGAGTTATGCATCATTAAAAGCTCATGTTGATGGTGAACTGTAATGCTTTCTTAACCAAAGGGCAGCACTGTCTAATCAAGTGTCTGTAGTTGAACAGCTATGACTTTCTAATGGAAGAGTCACAGAAGCTGCCCTTTTAAAAAGACAAGCAGTAGATCTCAGCAGCCCATTGATAAATATTTTAATATAAATGCTTTTCAGAACTGAAATTCATCGTGTCAGTACAACATGTATAAACTGCAAAACATGAAACCATTCTGTTAATAAAAACGCTTGTTAAAAACAAGGCGGTATCAAACAGACCAGTGTCTTGCCCATCTGGTTTCAGTAATGGCTTTGGTAGTGGAAAATATATCTCAGATGTTGACTTTGCTTTCTAATCATCACTTCAGCTGCCTTCAAAAGAGCTCCAGAAAACTAGGGGCCAAAATGCAGCTTTGTCCTATTAAGAGATGATCTGCAAAAAATATCCTGTTGGATTCATCCTTTTACTGAAAACCTCAAATTGACAAAGCTGATGAAGTATTATTTTGATTTGTTCCACGTCACAGTCAGGCACTGTATTTATTTATCCCTCCAGTATTAATACCGCACACTTGATTTCAGTCACCAAGTTGACAGCTGGATTGAGAGCTTAGGGTTAGACACTGTGTGCATCAGATCTTGTGAAATACCTTGGCAAATTTGGTTTGGGCTTAATTATATAACGTTCTTTCACAACAGCAGAACCCCAGGTATCAGATGATCCTTTATGATCAAGCATTTGGCAACCGTGGGAAGGAAGAACTCCTCTTTAACAAGAAAAAGAACCATGTGCCTTCACCAGTTGGGTGGAGGGTGGGGTGGGGGGGCTATATTCTTGTTGTGTAAATAGTTTGCTTTTAATTTCCACTGCACATTGGGAAAACATTTTGTGTGATTTCCAACTATAGAAAAATCATTTTAAGTTGGGCAAAAACTGAAATCTTCGTTGTACTGAGACATTTTCTATACAGTTGTGTATAGTTTAAAGTTTGCACACCCAAAAATATGCTTCACCTGAGACAGAGGTCAAGATGGATGTTATTTCGAACAACCGCATAGCAGAAGAGGCTCCAGTCTTCCTCTCCTCTGTGATTTAAAGAAACATCTGGAGAACTCTTGGGCACCACTGTCTGTTTAAGATGCAACTCCACATCCTCACATTAACAGGAGGAAACAATAAAGTGCTATTAAGACTTATAGCTTAAATATTTGGCAGCAAATAAGCATGTTTTTTTTTCTTTCACCATGTCCAAATGTTTCATTTTATGGATCCCTGAGCCTGCAGGTTTTAAAAAGTGAGGCCCTTCTCTGTTCTTAATCCATGTTTGTGCCTTCAAAGCTGCTGCCACTTCCCCCCACCTGCTATAAAACCATCCTTTGTATTTAAAGGTATAGCTATATACTCTGTTTTATGATCCACCGTCAGTAGCCAGCAATTTAAAAAGAACATTTTGGACAATTTTGTGTTGGCATTTCACTCAGCCATTATGTGCGGTGTCATAAAGCTAGAACAGGAATACAAATCATTTTTAGATGTAACATTAAAATGATTTCCTATAGCTACAAATAAGAAATATATCCTCTTTAACACAGTTTGGACTGAAGTTTTACAATTTAAAAGACAACATTGGCATTTCCAGAACTTCAGTGTGTGAGAGTGTATAAATTTCCAGTTATTTAAATGCAGAAGTGGTGTTTTGGCTCCCTTGTTGACCCTGAGCTACAGAGCTATAACCTCTAATGTCTTTGGCTTGTATGCAGGATTCAGGAGGGATGAGTCTGCACACAGCACTGCAGACCTGGTTCCTCTGGAATTCTGGGACTGCAGTCAAATTGGCAGACTATTCACATCAATCTTCTGGTTACACCTCAGGCTGTTTGCCTCCCGCTAGCTGCGCTTGCGGCATGTGATATAACTATAACAGTCACTGAAATCCTGGCAGAAAAGTGGACAACCTGCAAAGAAAATAGAACAGAGAAACAATTGTTTTCTGTTTCACGCAGGTCGACAAGGGAGCTGGGGGAGGTGTGCGTGCGTGTGTGTGTGCGTGTGTGGGGTTGTGTGTATGAGTGTTTGAGAGAGAGAGGGAGACTACATACGTGGCCAGCGGCCATATGTTTTTGAATAATAGCCATTCGTTTTAAGAGGATGATGTCACTGTAGGTTTGCTGTTCCAGTAACTATATTCTCACAGTCCTGGATCTGATCCCTTAAATGACTCCTGCCATGAATGATTCTTATTCCTCACTGAGAAACATGAAGAGCTATTTGCACTGGACTGATTGGTAAGTATGTTTCCAGAGTTTGACATGTGTAGATTTAAATCAAATTAGGTTTTGGTTACATTAGAAATAAAGGCAATATAAATATACTTATACTTGCAGTTGTGCTGGATTTTAGATTCACTCTAATGTTAAATCATAGCTTTCAGCAAGCAGTTAAAATTCTTCCTCTTAAGAAACCTCTCAGAGAGGCTTATCCTCTTTGCCTGTGGACTTGGGTGAAGATGTGAGGAATTACAAGTCTATGGATAAGACGTAGTGCCAGCGTCTACATGGCTGTTCTCTTTTGGGAGCACTTTAGTGACTATCAATCAGCGGTGACCAGCCCCAGGTTGTAAAAACATGTGGTGAAAAAAATGAAGATTTATGATTAGTCATTAAAAACCATGAAGACTTGTCAGAAACAGCCACAGAAAGTGTTTAGAAGTTGTCCTGCAACGCAAGCAGCTAGGTCGGTGTTATAGACCTGATGTTAAAATTTCTCAGATGATTGATTATTGAAGAATATTGACTCTTGTTACTCACTGCTTTTAACAAGAATCACATACTGAAATGAATCTGTAATAAGTTTGTAACCGGTTTTGACTAGATTCCTGGTTTTACGGTTATTCAAACCATTTAGCATTAATTGGTGTCATCATTGCTCACAAAACAATAAATCTGCATAATATAAATTTTTTAAATTTACCTCTTACTAGATTTTTAAAAAGTACCGTAAACTATTCTGCAAATAAAATTGTGGCATGTTTTTTCTATTTGTACCCCACATACAAAGCACACTGACAGCAACAGAGTTTTAGCTGAAGCATGAAAAGAGAGCTTTGCGACTGAATCCATCATCAGGGGCTGTTTAAATTCAGTTGTTGCTCAATAATGACTTTACTGCTTCTAAAGCCAACAATCTAAGGTGAATTTCATAAATTGTTCGTCCAATAAACCACATGTGGTTGTTACTTTGAAAAATTCTGACTAGGGGAGCATAGGGGAGGATAAAACCCACCTAAACCCATTTTCTCTGAACAAAGGAACTCTGAACTCAGAACTGTGACATGCATCTTCATTACCAAAGCAATTTAACTAAAACCACACATACGGTAATATATTGGTCCTTGATGAGGACCCATACTAAGTGCAATTCAAAAGACATCTGTGATGATGGATTCATGGAACCCTTGCCAGAGCCAGTAATATTAGGGCCTTCCATGGTTAAGGGAGGCTTAAGTCTATGTTTAACCATATTCCACACCTCCACTGCCGAAGCCTGCTGCCTCGTATGTTGGTTGATGCCAAGCCCCAAACCACATGGTGGACACCAGATATAAAGTGAGCCATCAAACTGAAGAATTCTTAT